TTTGCTTACAGAAGGCAACTTTTGCCTTTGGTGGGATGTGACTGTTTACTGGGGGGTGCCTGGAGGACTTGACTCTGACTTTTAATTGGGCTACAGAAGGTACCCGACTGTGACTTTTCTGAAACTGACCGACGTGGCCTCACTTGGCCTGAGACCTTGACCCTGAAATGATGTGAAATTCGAATTTGGGATCGGCATCGTGGAATGCCTTTCAGAAACAATGAATGATAACAAATGGAAGAAAAATCTGAAAAAAAAAAAAAAAAGGCTCATTGGTCAAACAAAAAAAATTCCCCTAATTTCCTAGGAAAAAAGCATTCACTGTTTTGAACTCTTTGCAGAAAAGTTCCAGTGTTTGGAGAAAAGTCCCAGTGTTTGCAGAAAAGTCCCCAAACAAATCAGAGTGTTTGCAGAAAAGTCCCGAAACAAATCAGAGTGTTTGCAGAAAAGTTCCAAAAACAAATCAGAGTGTTTGCAGAAAAATCCCAGAACAAAAATCAGCAGTACAGGTATCTCTTGAACCATTTAAACTGCCAGCAGTACAGCCTTCTTACAAATCAGGGCTGGCTGCCCACTGTTTCTTGAACCATTTAAACTGCCAGCACCTTTCCCAGGCAAAAATAAAATAAAATTTGCCTGCCCGTTAACACGGAGGCCGGCCCCAGGCACCCGCGCCGGCCAGATGCATCCCAAATGCTCGGCGCAGAGGAAAGGTACTGGTGGTTTAACTCCTGATTGCAAGCTCCCTGACTTTTTTTTTTTTGTACCAAGTTTCTGTCTCCAATCCAAGTAGAGCATGTGGCGAAGGTCTCGTTGAAACCGCCAGTACTTCCTAAAGTCGTGCCCGTTAACAAGCCATAATTTTCTTTTCTAGGAAACGTACGGGCCACTACAGGAGCGCCCAAATTCATCCAACTAGAAACGTTTCTACACTATTTTTTTTTCCGCGACCAATAGCTGGGCCAAGTACTGGTGGTTTGATCTTGTAGAGCACTTGTTGAGTCGAAGAAGCAAAGAGACGTTTTAGGAAGTCCGCGGATCCAAGACAAGGTTAACTTCGTTTTTTTTTTTTCCTTCAGAAAATGAATTTCCAAAAAAAAAAAAAAAAAAAAGCTTTGATGCAAAGCCAGGAATCAGGCCTGGCGTCCCGCTCAAAAAAAGATGGCTGGTCCTGTAAAACTACCAGTACGCTAGGGCCTGGTGGCACCGCATTGCGTGCCAACCTTGAACCATGGCACACTTTTTTTTTTTTTTTTTGGCTGACGCCACCAGCCATTGTGGGGTCACAAGCCTCCAAAATTTTAGGAGTAGGTGATGAAGAACTCTTGCAAGGCCGGAGCCATGTACTGGCGATTTAACCGGGGAGGAATGACAGGCGAAGCCGGAAATCAGGACCGATAATTTCAACAAAAACCCTAATGACATTAGAAAAGCTTAAGCCCCCACTCTTATTTTGGCACAACTGGCCAAAAAAGAGAGTAACCAAGAGACATGATTAACACCCAAAATCGTATACAACGCCCGTGACTGTCCTGTGACACTACCCTACCACCCACAAGTCAAGGTAGGGTCCCACCTTACAGGGGACCCCAAACCCACCACCCATGACTCAAGGCAGGCCACCCTTTATCCCGCAATCACTCCTTACCAGGATGCTTGCCCCCCTCCATGATGATGCCTTCACAGAATGATGCTTGATGCTCCCCCCACTCACCAATCCTCCACGAGTGATACTAGCATGCCACCCGCACGGCAGGGTCCCCAGCTCACGGCGGACCCCATAGCCCAACCCACCACCCGCGAATCAAGGTAGAAAACCCCTATGCTCCACGCTATGGCTCCCTACAAGATACTCACCGCCCTCGATGATGATGCCCTCACAGAGCCATGCTCCCCCTTCTTCCTCAACTCACCTTGTCGGTCTGCCATAGCCCAACCCACCACCCGCGATTCAAGGCAGAACACCCTGATTGCTTCACACTATTGCTCCCTACAAGACGCTCACCGCCCTCCCTGATGATGCCTTCACCGGAGCGATGCTCCCCCTTCTTCCTCAGAACTCACCTTGTTGGACGTCGCCCCCACCCGATGATCTGACGTCTGGCCCATCCCTCCCTCTCCGCTTCACAGAGCCAGCATCTTTGCATTTATCTGCCCAAAACCTTCCATAAAATCTTGCCAGCCGGCGGAATCTGTTTTTTTTTTTTTTTTTTTTTTTTTTTTTTTTTTTTAAATAAAACAAAGCTCCGATCTATTCGTGGGGCGGTAGCAGCACTTGCTGGGAACCGGGCCCAGCGTCCCTTATAATGAGATTCCATGAGACTGATATGAACTCTGTGATGATACATTGGAAAGCCTGAAGCCGTTAACCGGCTACAATTAAGAAGATCGATACGAAAGATTAAGAATTTAAGAACCACTTGAAAGCTTTCATCTACCAATCGCCCTACCTTCCTATCAACACTAACATCTATCCACACACACACACAAAAAAAAAAAAAAAAAAAAAAAAAGCTATCATCTATCCCAAACCAGATGTCGCTGCCCTGATCAACCTCCCAGATCAAAACTCGGCCACTCGCCCTCAACGTGGTTGCACATCAAAACTTGGCCACTCGCCCTCAACGTGGTTGCAGATCAAAACTCGGCCACTCGCCCTGGGCAGCGCGCCCATACTAAACTCGTTGCGAAGAAAATCGAAGAGTAATGAGACTCATCTCACTCCCCAGGGCACAGGCCTTAACAAAAAAATTAAGAAAAGTCGAACTGATCATGAGCAAATTTGAAAGCGAAAACACCCATGTAATGATATGCGTGAATAAGGAAAAAACAACCAATCACTAATAGTACCCCGAAACTTTTCTCCCCCTGCCCCCGCTCTCTCTCTCTCTTCATTTAAATGTCATTTGCCTGCCTCGTATATTTTGGCGAAAGGTCATTTGCCTGCCTCGTATATTTTGGCGAAAGGTCATTTGCCTGCCTCGTATATTTTGGCGATTTGGCATTATACGTATATTTTGGCGATTTGGAATTATACGTATATTTTGGCGATTTGGCATTATACGTATATTTTGGCGATTTGGAATTATACGTATATTTTGGCAATTTGGCATTATACGTATATTTTGGCGATTGGCTAATTTTCAGACCAGACCAGCAACATCTCACTGGATATGGTTCAGCCATACGTATATTGCTGGCCTCTCCTCCTCCTCCTTTCCCTCTTTTTCCTTTCCCTTCTTCTTCTTCTTCTTCTTCTTCTTCTTCTTCTTTGTTTCTTCCTCCTCTTTCCTTTCTTCCTTTTCTTCTTCTTCTTCTTCTTCTTCTTCTTCTTCCTCTTTCCTTTCTTCCTCCTCCTCCTCCTCCTCCTCCGTCTTCCTCTTCTTGTTCTTGTTCTTCTTCTTCTTCTTCTTCTTCTTCTTCTTCTTCTTCTTCTTCTTCTTCTTCTTTGTTTCTTCCTCCTCTTTCCTTTCTTCTTCCTCCTCCTCCTCCTCCTCCTCCGTCTTCTTCTTCTTCTTGTTCTTCTTCTTGTTCTTCTTCTTGTTGTTCTTGTTCTTGTTCTTGTTCTTGTTCTTCTTCTTCTTCTTCTTCTTCTTCTTCTTCTTCTGTCTTCCTGTTTCTTCCTCTTTCATCACCTTTCCTCTTTTTTTCTTCTTCTTCTTCGTCCTCCTCCTCCGGCGGCTCCTGTGCTGCTTTTTCCTCCTCCTCTTCTCCATATTCCTTATTTGTTTGTGCTTGACGGGTTGGGGTGAATGATGTGAAATAAATAGAGATTTTTGTTTGACGGAATAAGGAAGGAATAACTGACTAGATGCTGGTGTGTTTGTACAGATGGTAAGTGAAACTTGCTTTGAGAGAATCAGAGATTCATGGGCCGCGATTACAGAAATGGCAATGAAGGACGGTGGGCTTGATGACCTCACCAAACACTTCCGGCTTTGCAAGTAAGTGGGTGGTGGATTTTTGCTTGGGAATTTCAGAATCTCTTTTGAGTTTTGAAAGCGTTCGTTTCGTGCGGAATTTCGAAATTGTGTTTGAAACTAGGCTCTACCAGCCGGACCGCCCGGGTCCCGGGTGGCCAGCCCGTGCAAGGACCAAGGAAGGTCCCAGCAAAAAATAAATAAAAAAATCCAAAAATCCAAAAAAAAACTATGTTATCCAGAAAAATAAACTGAACAACTTTTCCCTCAGGGTTACATCGAAATTCTTCACCAAATTTAAAATAAAAACTAATTAAAAAAATATATATATTTTTTGGCCCGGCCGGGCAAGTGACCCCGGGCCACTTGGTAGCCTAGGTTTGAAATCGTTTACACATTGTCGTTGATGTTATTCCAGTACTACAGAAAAGGCGTGTTCACATGTGGAGCAGCTTTTTTTCACCAAATTTGGCCTGGATTGTGACCAGATTCATACATGGAGGAAAGTCTCAGCTTACATGAAAGACGGAATTGAGACTTCGGGAAATTCGAAATTTGTTCTCCCTCCCTCTCTCTCTC